GAAAAACAAACTGAGGGTGTTTCCATTTCGGGATAGGATTCGTGTTTGGTGCAGCGAATTGGGGCACCTTGCACCGTTTGCACACGAACCGATAGATTTTGATTAAATTTTCAGGGCAGCTGCCCCCACAGATTATCTACCACGAAACACCCTCAGCTAAGAATATAATTATTTTTCTTGCACGTGGCACATGCACGTGTTTTAGGCCCATAGGCTTCAACATTAGGTGGATTTTCGGCATCGCATTTCTCGCAGACGGGTGCTTGTAATGCGATGGGCTTCTATGTGCTGGGTGGCCGGCCTGGCATCTACCATGAGCCGGCGGCGCCATTTCGGGCAGCCTCGGGAAGGTGGTGCAAATTGCACGTGCAGCCGCCATTGGTTTAACGTTACGAAATGGGCCAAAACGGGTTTTCTCGATTTGCTCAAAATCGGCTCGATAGATTTTCTATGTTTTTTGAGTACCGGTAGTCGGTCAGGAGGTACGTTCGTCAATGTCAATCGCTTGAAATATAATTAACTTTTTTGCACGTGGCACGCGCACAAATTTTCACGTCTTAAGTCAATGGGATTTCTTGAAAAAAATTACTTAAATCGATTTTGCTCAAAATTTCCACGTTAGATTTTAAAAGTGTTTCAGTATGATATGCACCCACATGTCGCCTACCAGGTGGCATAGGCCATATATGGGGCGATTGAAATGCACGTGCACGCCCCGCACTTGTTTGAGGGGACCACCTCCGTGAAAATTTGACCACTGCTGGTATGATGGCCTGTGCCGCGCAAACAATGCGTGCCAGCGGAACCAATCGAGGTCAGTCGTCAAGGGGATGCTCTAGGATAGTTGTACACCTCATCACGTGGTGCACGTGTTTTCGCACGTGCGCCACGTGGGTGTAGCAATTTGGGATAGGTAGCCATTGGTGCATAATTATGCTCAGTTGATAACCTCACTGCATGGGTTTGAGCTAGAGTTCCAAGTCGGTTGCGATAATGACCAATGGTGTTGGGTCTACGTCAAACACGTGGCCGCCCGGGGTTCTCCATTCCGGAGATATTGTGACCGATAGTGAGGTAAGCCCTAATTTAAAGATTGGCCAAGTTTGATCGGCCGCTGGGAGACAATGGTGGCGCATCCGAAAGTCTACCCATGGGCACTGACGATCCCTTTCATCTGGTACAAAAGGGTGGTCGCTTTATGTCTTTAGGCCACACGTGGCACGTGGCACCCCACCTCGAGTGACCACGTGTACTCTCAATGTAAGGCGTTTTGGCCATAACTTTGCCATTTATGGGCCGATTTCGACGAAAATTGCAACATTGATGCATTAAAATGACCTGTGCCTCAAACGGAGCTACGAATACAACAAACTCATGTGCGTCGTTTTTGTCTCTAGTGCGCCACTTTAGCTACAGTGGCTAAAGTCGAGGAATGTTACGCGTATTTATTTCGACGGGCCGATTTCGTCGAAACTTGCAACGGTAGTGCACAAAACTAGGCAGCGACACATATGAAGCGAGATAAAAATTGGCTGTTGTGCGCCATTTTTGTCTTAAGTGCGCCATTAACTGCCTAAAGTGGCTAAAACTTAAGTATCTCATCATTTTCATACATTAATAAATTACTGTGAGGTATGCATGTAACGCCTCGCGTCACTTTGGTCTTAATTGCATTGGTGTTTCGGGCGTGCGTTTTGCGATTTTTTGTGGTGTTCGCGTTTTGCGGCGGGCGGGCGTTTTTTTGCGGTGTTTGTGCTTAGTGGCGGGCGGGCGGTTAATGCGGGTGTTTTTGCGACCTTTTCGGTGTTAAGTTTGTTTTCTGTTTGCGGCGGCCGGGTGTTTTTTTTTTACGGTGTTTGGGTTTGGTGGCGGCTGGGCGATTTTTAGGCGTTTTCGGTTGGTGGTTAGCGTGCCTGCGATGCGGGCGGTTTATTTTTGCGGCGTTTTTGCGTTTTTTTTTGCGGTTTGCGGCGGTCGGGCGATTTTTTACGTTTGCGTTGGCGTTTCGGGCGTGCGTTTTGCGCGTTTTGTGGTGTTTGCGTTTTGCGGCGGGCGGGCGTTTTGTGTTTTTTGCAGTGTTTGTATTTGGCGGCGGGCGGGCGCGGGCGATGCGGGCGGTTTTCTTTTTTGCGTCGTTCGCGGTGTTCAATTTGTTTGCGGTTGGCGGTGCTTAGGCGCTTTTAGGCGTTTTCGGTTGGCGGTTAGCGTGCGTGCGATGCGGGCGGTTTTATTTTTTTGCGGCGTTTTTGCGTTTTTTTTGCGGTTGGCGGTGGGCGGGCGTTTATTTGTGTTTTTTTTGCGACATTTGAGTTGGCGTTTTGGGCGTGCGTTTTGCGCGTTTTGCGGTGTTAACGCTTTGCGGCGGGCGGGCGTTTTTTCACAATTCGAAGTCCCAACCTTCGGGCCGCAGCGCTACTCGAAAAGCGCTGCCCTCGAGTATTTGCATTAGAGGACTAAAACTGCACAGAACTTTCAAACTGCTCTTTCGGATTTTCAAAATTTCTGGAAAGTTTGAAAGTTATACAATTAAAATTCAATAAGTATATTTTTTAATTGTCTTCCCCTAAAGTTTTTTTTTTTACTAAAAAAATATTACAAGTGACAGAGCACATACCGATGGTCTACTCTAGAACGTTTTGCCCGATATCTTCATATCTAAGTTATACGCTTTGTGCTTAACATTTCACCATCATCAGAAATTCAAATTCTTTTTCAGCATGTTTTGACATCGCTCACCAAAATAAATAAACCATCGTGTTTCTGAGCTCAAACCGCATGCGATACATGAACACCTTTTTTGTTGAAAAACTTCAACTTCAAAGTTTGACAATTTTTTAACTTGAAAGTGACCTGACCTTAGGAACACTCAGCTGAAAATGGCCTCGAATAACACAGACGGCACTGATTTCGAAATATATGGCCTAAATGGATTATGCAGCATGTGTCACGTGAACGATGTATCATATGCAATTTTCGTGACCTAAGATGACCTGGCCCTAATCTGAAAAATTCGGAGTACAAGTTCGGTGCCCTCAGGTCTCAGGGTATGTTATTGTTAAGTCTATATTCACGAGTGTGTAAACCAAAAATGAGCCTGATCGGACTTACTAGCCGACGGGCAGAGCCAGAATGTGAACAAGCCAAAACGTTATTATGATGAAAATGACCGTATGCTCATGATATATGATTAAGTTGAGTTGAAATAAGACCAAAAAATTGTTGATACCTACATTTCGACTTGCGTCGTAATCGTCTTCACATTCAGAGACAACGCTCTGGAGAGCCCCCCCCCCCCCCGTCACTCGCGTTATGGAAAATACCCCAATCATGCACGGGTTAAAAGAATGGTTAAGATTTCAATTTATTGGTTTCAGTTAAATTTGGACATAACTTAAAAGACAGCAGAATATCACTGTTACGTAAAATAAAAAAGTACGACGCAGCAATACAAAATTTGGATTTTTAGTGCAGATATTTAATAAAATATAGAACAAATATTTACGGATGCTCAATTAGCCCAGTCATTAGGGACCGACACATTGCCACTGATCAGACCGAGAAGTTCCGTTCTAACCACTTCCGTCGGCCCCAGCCGCCCCATTGTCTTCCGACAGCGGTCGCGCACTCGTGTCCCGACTCCCCTGGGCCCGTTTAGGCGGCGGTCGGCGGACGCGCTCACTTCATCATCGACGATCAGCCAGCGTGAAATCAGCTCGCTAGATGACTTTGCGGCCTTCAGTCGGGCCGACGGCTGCCGGTTCAGGGAAGGGGAGGGGAGGGTGCATCCCGAACCGGTTAGGAGAGGGGAGACAACGGAGGGGATGCGGTGGTGGTTTATTGAGGTGTTATATGATAGTGAGGGAACTTACTGGGAAGTGGGAGCGTGTTAAGTTTTGAGGTTATAAGGCGTTGACATGATCTATCAATGCATCTAATTCAAGCCAACCAGGTGGTCACTTTCTCACATCGACACATTTTATCAGATGAGATAGTATTATGTGTTTCTTCCAAATGTTTTGTTTTATTGTGCTGGGTTATGTGCTTTCGGGTTAATTGGGCTATTTCCTAGGGCCGTGGGATATCATAAAGTGGATGAAAATTGGTCTTGGCAGTCAGCATTGTTTTTCTAATTGATAAACCTCCTAGTCACTCAACGACCACTCTTCCGCTCGGGAGCCTGCTCCGATGGGAGCTACTTGCATCGAATGATGGTGGTCGCCCAGGCTTGAAAGGGGGTATGAATTCTTAGGATATGCACGTCTTGTGGATATACATGCATAAGAAGAATCGTAGGCAAGTAATGTGAGGTCAACTAGGGTTTTTACCGATGCTTTGTGCTCTCTACTCAATCCGTAAGAAGCGACAGTTCCCACCATGGATCTCGACGTAAATAGACGAGCAGAATTCACCGACCACAGCGTCACCTACCCAAAAAGCCCCAACCAAAGCTTCGGGACCCGGGCGGCCGGCGGCAGTGATCGTCGCGCTGGTTCTCATTCTAGTTTGATCGATAGCGACTTTGAGTTACAAACAGTTCAGTACGAACGTTTGGACAAGTCCTGGCAAAGTAGCCTTCATGACAACCTACGAGCTGTAAGTAAGCCTTAGTGTAGGCATATCCTGTTTCGTAAGGCGTTATGAATAACTGGTTGCGTTTTGCTGTGGGCCTTCAGCACAGAAGACTTTCGCTCCTAGGCATAAGAGACTTCAAGCGATTTACTCAATATCCGGTACCTTTCATAGCTTGTTTGAAGCTATATACTAAGCTTGCCTTGAATTGACGTATCTAATCCGCCACCCGCACCCTCTGGCGCCGTCGTGCTCTGTGATCCTTCATAGCCTGCTGCTATTTATGAAGTAGCAGCTCAAGTATCGACTCAAGATTTGTTCTGACCCGGACGTGACATCTGTCTCTAGCCGTGCTGTGACCTTGCCGTGACCCCGACCCCTCTGTGGTCCTGTTAGGACCTCTCAAGCTAGCTATATTTGTCGTGACCTTCATGGCCCTGCTGGATCCGCGTGACTCCAGATATCGACGGCGTCTCGGCTCGGCCCGACGAAAAGACCCGGTCGGTCTGTCTGTGGTGTTCAACCGAAAGCTCTGGCTGTTCCTTCCATCGGAGCAGGAGCGTCAGGGATGGCGCCGCCTATTGACGACATTTGGAACCGAGGCTGTTCAGCAGAAAGAACAGGAAGTGGTCGAACATCAAGAACGCGAAGAGAGCAGGGATCTTCTGTTCGAGTTGGTGCAAAAGGAACTAGAAAATGAAAATGGGTAAGTTTGGGACGCTAAACCAAACATTTGCTGCCGATCGCTTTTTTGGAATGTGAAATTGATTGTGAATTTATTTGTTGAAACAATGCCTGCACCGATATGCCTGCACATTTACCATACATTTGCTACTTTTTATGATAGCAGCCGTATTATTTGTTATGATATTTTTTTCCAAATCATGTATTTTTACACGCACAAAATCATCACACAACATATAAGTGCCGGCGAGCTCGTTCATCACCTCACGGCTCACCGCATGACCCAGCTAAATCGTCAAAAAAAGAAAACACGAAATACGCACCGGCGAGCTCGTACATCACGCTCTTATTTGTCATATTTGTAAGGTCCACTCGAAGGCCTTCATCGTTCATTAGTCAACTCATATGTAAGCCGAATATTCACTATTCATTGCCCTCCCCGTGACCTGAGAGTAATTTCGTTGCAGGTCAGGCGCTAAGGGTATGGCAGCCTCTACCGACGAGGAGGAATGGAGTATCGTGACAGCAGCCATTGCCGACGCGGACTCGGACGAGCGTCGGGCCAGGGTCATCCACCGGGCCACGCCCAAGGGAAGGATATATTATGCCAAGTGAGTCCGATAATATGGTCGGCAGCTCATTCGCAAAAGTGTTTGAATAAACGTTTCGCTTTATTCTTTCTCATTACTTTGTCTTCATATATGGAAAAGCATATAAAAAGTAAGATAACATTTATTTTCCAGCAGCGAAAATTATAACTGAAGGTATGTGCTGGAATAACGCAAGAGCTAAGAAATAAATTCAAGTGAACATTATCAATCACTTCTGTTCATGAAGCTAAGCATGCATATCTCCAACTTATTTGAAACAGTTATTTCTAAACTGGGCATGGGCTAAGCGACCGTCTCACCAGCTTTCATTGTTAGGTTAGGTGTAGGGTTAGGCTAACAAAATTTCGCTGCTGGTCGTTTACCCTGGCTGAAATAAGTGAGGGTATTCCTTTTTCGAATCATTTCTTTCGGCAATCGACATGATGGATGTTTTACAATTACAATGATAATGAAATTATTACCCTCAAAATGGGTGACGAATCAGCAATCAAGGATGAACAACCGCAATCCGAACAAAATCCGTCAACTCCTCCAAGAACACAATCAGTGAAATTCGATGCTCCGCAATCGCCACCAGAAGAAACATCCGATGACCAAACCAAGCCAACAACTGGAAATCAAGAATCGAGTTCTACGGCGCCAGAGGCGACTGCTAGAAAAGCTTCATCTCAAACTGAACGTTCTGATGACGGGCTAGACAAGGAGCATGGTCCTCAGCAAACAGCAAAACCCGAGGGACCGGGCAGCCCTCACGATTCAAAGGGATCCTCCAACCACTCAACCAGAGGCTCCTCTAGGGACACGTCTACCGACTCTCGGGACGAACAAGAACTACCCAAAGAGGCTGCCTCCAGGACCTCATCCCCAGACCAGAACGGTGCTGCCGGTGACCCTACCAGTCGCTCCGGAACATCAGTGGCGACCGATACCGAGTACATTGTGGCAGAAGACGGTAATATCCACATCAACGACAAGCAGAAGGCGGCCATCAGACGTCTGATGCACCCAGAGGAGCAGGATGAGGGAGCCCATCTCGGGTGCGTATGGTCGGGATTGTTCCCTGCCTGGATCCCTGGAGAGTGGAGTCTACTTACCATCTTGCCAGTTGCCGTCTACTTCCCATACGCTTAAACTTAGGTGAAAAAAAAATGATGAACCAGTCGTGGGTGACGCATCGTGGCGTGGTAAATTTTTGATGTCACTGGTGGGTCTACAAAACACAAAACAAACTTAATTTACCGAGAAAATATTTGGGAACAATAGAAAAGTGTTTGCCATAAGTCATGTCGCGTCAAAGGCATGCTGTTCATTGTTCTTTGTATTCCAGATTCACGAAGCAGGGCAAGCCTATCAAGGCCAATCCATACTACAAGTATGCGCAGCGCGCCAAAGATGGCGCTGAGGAGACCAAGCCGACGCCTCCGCCTGTGACCGAGCCGCACTCGTCGCGGCTGACGCGTCGCTCCCGACGGGACAGCGCCCACCTTCCCAAGGGACCCAGCGTCGTTCTGGAAAAGGTCAGCGGGCTCCGACTGTTTGTTCGTCGGCAGACTGAGTCATGAGTGACCCGGCACAACTCGCCAATTCCAAACAGACCGGACAGCATACTTGGATACCACTGGCCGTGTTTGTTTGATTTCATTAGCTAGGCAAACGAAGCCCAACAGCCTGCCTCCAGTGAATCATTTTGTAATGATGCCGGGGGTCAGCCACACACCCACATATCCGTTCTATCGAACAGCCGTGCCTGACTCAATGACACATGGCGAACTTCCACCAGCTGAATGGTTTACCTCTTGGCACCACCCGCCCCGTCGACAGATCAAAGAGGAGTTTTGCGAGTGGCTCTCCTCGCTGGGAAGCCGGCGTAACATGACCGTCAGCAAGGAGCGCCTGGAGGAGCTGTTCTCACTCGGTCTGGAGAATAACCTGGTGGTGCGACCGCCGGAGGTCTGCATGACTCAGCCCGGTCACGGTCGGAAGCGTCGACAGAGCTCGAGGGCGCCTCGTCAGGGGGCGCCGATGGCCGCCACCGACGCAAGGCGGAAGGTAAGTGTCGGCCTCGGCCGTAGGCTGTTACGTAACTGATGTGGCTTATGGCCACCATGCCCTTTGAATTTGCAGCCGCGCTCATGGATTTGCTGTAGTGCGTTTTAAGCTTCAACATGGTGATTGAAGCATAGAATCGCTCACTATTTAGTTTTGTAAATAAGCAACTGAAGTCGCTTCCTATATACTTAAGGATCACGTCAATAATTCATTAGTTGCACGCTGTTTGAGGCATATACATATTGCTAACACTGGGTGAACTACCTTCATAATCAGGTTTGTGAAACGGCCTATAAGTTTTATTATTTACACCTTTCGTAAATGTTTACTACAAAGGACAGTGTAGGGAGCCAATTTCGAGATAGCGCGAAACGGGATTCATCGAAAGTATCACGTTCATCCAAGTTCCGATTACTTCCTAATGGTGAAAAAGATCATTGTTTATTTGTAAAATTGTAGGCACAAAGCTGATCGTAACGCCTAACGGCGTTAACCATTTGCCGTCTAGTCCATTTCATTAAAATCTTGTCAAATATTTCAGGCATTTGTATATGCTACCACATTCATCGTGCCCTGTTACCGTTGGGATTTTAATTATTCCACTTGCGCCTAACTTTCGGTCCTCGGCTCTGTTTCCTGTCACATTTCAACTACCACCGTAGGACTGCTGATGCAGAATTGCATACCTCGCCAATGACATTACCATTTTCTCCCCCAGACGGAGGGTATGGCAGTGGTCGCCTATTGCCGATCCCCATCCCTGACCTACTACCCAGAATTACGGGAGAAGTGGCGGCAGATGGGTCTGAGTCGACGCATGCCCATCTGGAGGTCAGGTCAACACGGCCAAGCGCCGCCTCTGCCCCCACGTGTGCACTATGGCGACTGGTACATCCCGATTCAGAAGTGGTCCCCGCTGGTGGCTGGCCGTCGTCTGGCACCCCCAGAGACGGAGGAGGCACGGCAGCTGAGGAAGCGCGAACTGGCCAACAGGAAACTGAATGAGGTGCGTAAAGTACTTACACTGGAACTTGGGGCGTAGAAGCAGCCAACAGAAAGAGCCACCCCTCCAATAACTTGTGCATCAAAATAGAACATCTTTCAATGTCAGAACATCCATTGGAAATTTAAACGGTTGTCTGTTGAGTCACTAAACACTAGCATAGACTGGCCATCGGCACCGCGCGCTCCAGTTCTCGCTCACGCAGCTCTGGAAGGTATACTGTGCCGCATGACATGGCTGTCGTGCGGGCTAGTCTACCAGCCCGCGGCTAGAATCAGGCGCTCTTTTGCGTTCTGGAGGCGCGGGCCCGTCGCGACACTTTTTCGACTACGGAGGATTGAAGGAAGGATTAAGCCGTAGTGGAGGTCACAAAGTTGGTGCTAGTTTAGGAATTCAGCTGATGATGCTATTTGCAAAAAGCTACAAATGAGACGCATAAGGACGGCAATAGCCAATACCATGTTTTCACAATGCTTATCACAGGGAGTAAAAACGTTAACTAAATGTAATATTTCTAATTACATTAATTTGACATGGCACCTCCTAACTAGTCTTTGTTAATCTTTGTGAGCAGCATATGGGAAGGAACTACCAAATGCGGCAACAAAGACAACCAGGTGAAATGACGAGTCTCGGAAGTCGGTTGTTCCATTACTTGCAATCCATTTCAGTCTCCTTGTGAACATGACGCAAATGCTCCACTTCATCTCAGAGCAAGGCCTGGTGTGAGTTGTGTGACCTCATGACAGAAATAACCATTGAAATAACACCATTTTCCAGTTCTACTTTACCTAATCGCATTCGCATGTTGCATTCTTCGTGCCGACTGCCGGCTTCTCTCCCTAATGGTATAATCATCACAAATCTCACAAAAAAAAACTAGAATACCTAATTTACGCCTCATCTGGCTTCTGTCTGTGTTATTTTCACACACTCTCCTCTCTCTCCCTCAGACTCTGTCCCGGTCGCACGCCATGGCCGCTCTTCGAGAGTACATCCATATCTGCCAGCTGCAGGGCAACTCCGCCTTCCCCGAGGCCACGCCGAAGCTGGTTCGAGATGTGGACGAACTGGTGGCCGAGATGGCTCACGGTTCGCGCCGACCCTCTAGGGGAGGTGTGGACACACGCGAGAGGATGCCGTCACTCCCGATGGCCGGGCTGATGGTCAGGGTGATGGATAAGGGGCGCCAGCGTCGGAAATCGTCCGTGATGCGTCGTGGTTCGCGGCGGCCCACTGTCGTGCTGGACAGGGGCCCGCTTATTATCAAACCGCCGCCCATGTATAAACCGGTGAAAACGACTCCAGGCCATGCGGCGAGGCGTAAACGGAGGTCCACGGTCACTGGAAAACAGCAGCTGTAGTTTGCTGATAGCCGAGCATCAGTAGAACAAGATGTAACTGGACACGCTTTTTTGCTATACCTTCTATATTCGGTGCATGCTTTGTGTAATTATGTACCAGAGCTCTTAAACACTCAGTTCTGTGCACACAACGTGCATACATTTCTATACATTTTTGGGTAAGTTATGCACCATTGGATCAATAATGTTTGCTTGATGCTTTTGAGTGTTTATTCAAATTTGAGTGACCTACGCATACTGCATAGGTAGTTAAGTACATGGCTTGATATTATTTGTGTGTTTTAAAAGAGAAGACGAAAGAGAATCGGGCCCAAGGTTAACTAACGGGTACAACTCCCACTAGCTTACATGTATGTAGTATGAAAACATGAGTATAGCGTATTAATTAGCGCGTCTTCTTCTCATAGATGTAGCCAATGTGTTATACAACCTATGTTGGCGGTTCCAGCTGTTACATAACCTAAATGGTAATCAAAATATCCGTCTTTCTTCCCCAAATGACTCTGAACGACAATTTTATAATCCTACTTGTCATTCACACACTAATTATCAAAGCTCCAACCATCAGACACGAGCCCAACCGAGCCC